GCAACCAGCAACAGACAGGACAAGAGAAAATGGCTTCAAGTTGTGCCAAGGGAGGTTCAGGTTGGATATTAGGAAAAATTCTTTACTAAAAAAGTGGTAAAGAGAAGTGGTGGTGTCACCATCCCTCAAAACATTCAGAAAATGAGTAGATGTGGCACTTTGTGATACAGTTTTGTGAGCGTGGTGGTATTTGGTCAAAAGTTGGACTTGGTGATCTGGGAGGTCTTTTCCAAACTTACTGATACTATGATTCTTTGAGCATTTACATATTCTTTGTTGTGGCTGGAAAAGTATGTCAGAGGCTTACTCTGCTATGTTTCCCTGTCCGAGTCATTTTTCCAAGGCCTGATTCCCTCTTGCTTTGCATTCTTGACAATCATTCATACCTGTGTAAAGTAGGTATAAAGTGCCTTTATATTGTAACACAGTGAAGAACTGGAATCATGAATTCTTCAGCATCAGAGGAATTTTTCTCTTTTGAATCTGCTGAATTTTGCTACCAAATACTTGCAGTTTGGTAAAGAACTGCATCAGTTTTACTTGTACTTTACTTGTTTTACCCATGGTGTATGTCTGTGAGGCTGAATTCCTGCGATACAGCATATGCCTAGCTGCCTGGGAACTTCCTGTGTTCAGCCAGTGCTGAACACCATGATTTATTACCATGGAAATTAGTGCAGCTGTAAGCAGCAGCTTAATATGAAGCACAGAGCAGGACTCAGATCCAGTGTGATTAACCTAAAGAGGTAGCCTGAGGGTCCCCAAAGCAATCTGATTTGGGAATCTCTCTCCACTGACTGAACAGCAAACACTTGCACCTTCCTGCATAAATGTTTAAACCACCTTGGTGCCATTCAAAGGCTGGCCATGACCATGCAGCCTGATAGTGGCTAATGACTGGTCCCACCATAAATAACCTCTCAGGCTTCTCCAGGGATTGAGATGGCTCCACCTCTCAACTTGGATCACAAGTTAGTTAGAGTGGGAAAGAAGTACTAATCTCCCCAAATCACCATGTTTCTGAACCTGCGCATATGAGAAAAATTGAGGCTATGAGCTGTCTTGCAGTTCTTCCGAGGAGGGTCAGTTGTCCTTTGTGGACAGTGCAGGAAAACAAGCTGTTGGAGACTTGCACGGCATTTAGTTGCCCAGGTTCCATGTAGCCAGGATGATAGGAGATACATGATCAGAAACTTCAGATGGTGTGCTGGTTATTAAGTGATCTTATTACTGAACTTCTGGCAGCTTTACAAGGTATTTACTCTCTCCCTTAAGTCAGAGTGCATGCTCTGATCAAGAGCTTTAAAGAAAAGTGGTTCTTACCCAAATTGTTGTTTAATTCCTTAAAATAAAAATACATTTTCTATGGTGTGGTAATTAATTCTGGGCATAAGCCAGTAGCAAGATATGCACGAATGTTATGTGCCCCAGTCATTAAAATGTAAATTGGTTGACTGCATGATCTTGCTTACATCCTTCAGAAAGAGCAGTCCAGAATGAAAGTTACCAATTAAAAAAAAAAAAATGGTTTTTTTTAATAAAAATGCATGAACAAAGATATAACTGATTTTACCCTGGTCACTAAGTATAATGAGGATCCTTCTAAGAATATGCTATATTTAAAAATGGAAAAGGTAGAAGGGGGGCAGGAGACTTAAGCAGCATCAGAATAAATGGGAAAATATTGTAATGCTTAATTTGTAGTATATTGGCTACCATTAGAGCAGCAAACATAGATTTCCAGATGTTTGTGAAGGGTCCAACAGTTATATTTTATATCTATGGCTGCAGTAACAATTTCTATTCAGCAGCCTAGAAAAACATTTCATGTCCCAGCAGAAAAGAAATATTACCATGGGTCTTCTACCCCCTCATCTCCTATATAGCAATTCTGAATACTTCAGTCAATGCCAAATTAAAATGATGATTTAAAAACTTAAAAGCACAGGCACTAAGGGCAGGGCATAAATATGCAGGTGTTTTGTGATGCTGTAGAACTTTTCAGGCAACAGTCACAATGACATTGTGGAGAGGACTGGAAATCCATCACAGCTGGACAGTGTCAAAAGCATTCCCTAAGCGACACTGTCAGAAAAAGCAGTTACCTTTTCATATTCTCTTAAGGGGAAAAAAGAAAGACAAAAGATCAGACCCACAAAACCGATTCATAATTGCTTTTTTACAGCTCTTACTATTTTATTAGTAAGGGGTTGACTTGTTAATACAAGTGAGCAGCTTACATCTAGAGTTTACTGGGCAATCTGTACAAGTAGAAAGCTACATTGTCCCAAAGCTGTGTACAAAATACCAGTTTTCCTTCTCCAGGAAGGAAAAATTTTTTTAACAAGCTTATCAGCTGTTTCTGTTTCAGTCACCTCTTTGCCTTAATGATCTTATACAAATGGGAGCCCAAAAATCTTGTTTTTACCACGGCTACATGGGCAGACAAAAGATGTCATTAATAACAACAAGTTTTTAAAGTTTTTAACCTTTAATGCCTGTGCATGAAGATGGACCTCTTGCCTCCCTGGAGCGGGCAGGCACTTCTGCAACCAGGACTGTAGCACGGAGCCATCCTGATGGAGTACGAGCTTTTACTGTTGCCCATCTCTCTACCATCCAGTAGTTATGAGGATGGAAATAAAGCTCAAAAATAAAAATGGATGTCAGCTCCTCCCTTTCCTGTTTATTTGACTTGCTTTTAATTAGTAAGGTGAGATCACAGGTGAGATTTTCTGCACTGCCTGGCCCCGCTGTGCTTTAAAGGGTGCAGAAGGCTCCCCAACAGTGGCATAATTCCCCAGGCAACCAGAAACTGCTGCAGCAAGAAAGCCATAGGCAGCTGTGCCGCTTCCTAGCAAAAGGCAAGGGGATGCTGCAAGTAAAAGCAATGTTATGGGAGTCTTGGCTTGTGCAAGACAGGTGTTCCAGAGGGGAAAGGTTGGCATATGTTAGAGGAGGCAGGAAGAGGGCCAGAAAAGTGTGCAGCCATGGGGAATCATGGAGATGAAGCTGCATCTCTGATGGCCTGGCCTCTTTTCAAAGCCCCAGAAATTGCCCGTCATATGAGGCTTGTGTCAGGTGTCAGGTTTCAGTTTTCCGTAATGAAAAGCACTATTAGCAGGTAAAGACAATTCATTAGGTGCAACATAGCAGAACTGTAATTAATTATTAGATATTATTTCTCACAAAATGCATCTCCAAGATCACGTTGAATTAGCCGCAATATTGGACTGATGGAGCATAAACAAGGGTAATGATAAACACCAGTGAATGGATTTGGGAAGAGATGGTTATTAGGGTACCGGCGTGCTTCATGTGGGGTTTATTTAACGATCTCATTAATGAGCTGGAAAAGGAAGTGAATAACCATTTAATTAAGTTTGTATTTGATACTAAATTAGAAGTTGCTGCAGACACCTCCGAGGGCAGAGAAATAAATCAAAAGGAGCTAGAAGCTTGTGCGGTAAAGAAGAAAATGAGATCTGGTATGAAGAAAAAAAGCAAGCTAATCTCCCTGGAAGCAAATAATCTAAAATGTAGCTATCAGTGGAGGAATTCTGGAGAAAGCAGTGTCGAAAGAGAGGTAGGGGTGTTAATGGACTGTACATTCCATCACGGCTCTGATGTATGTTTACAGAAGCAACGTATCAAGGAGCAGAAAGGTAATAGCCGTTCATTTTAGGGCTCTAGTGAGAACCCATCTATAATGCTGCACTCTGTTTTGGGCACCCTGTTATCAGAGAGATATAGACGAATTGGAATGAGTTCAGAAAAGAGCTGTAAAAATGATCCCGTATCCCGGGAGATAATGACTTATGAAGAAAGATCAGAAGACGTAAATGTGTAAAGCCTTGTCTGAAAGATGACTGAAGTAGGGCAGAAAAACAGTCTGCAAAAATGTGAAAGCAGAAAGGGAGGAGGATAATTTATCATAGTAGCTATTAGTAATAGGATGAAATAATAAGTAACAACAATAAATTTTAAAAGGGCAACTTCAGGTTGAATGTAGGGAAAAATTTCTGACAGTGGAATTTGGGTTGGTTTGCAGAGAAGTTTCCCAAGGGTGAAAGTAAAAGCTGCATTCAAGTCATTTAAAATCAAATTGGACAACTCACTAGAAAATGCACCCTGCTATAGGGAACAATCTTCCATTGCCTGGGGAATAAGCTGGATGACTTAATAAGATATTTCACACTCGGGTCTTTATGACTGTGATATTTTAATATGCATGGTCAACTATTTCAGGAAAATATACATTTCTTCTGCTGCCAAGCCTGGAAATACAAACACTTGCATGCAAACATAACTTTTAAGAAGGCAAGTAGCTCTGCTGACAGCACTGCACTGCTGACATGCAAAAACACAAACCTGAGCTCTTCAAGTTTTTGTGAGCTGAGAGTCTTAGATCTTGAGTTGTCAATATCCAGATGGTATATACAGGTAACCACATAGTTTATGGGTAGGTGAAGAAGTGTGCAAAACAGAAGATGCAGGTTGGAAGCTCCGGTGAAGTTGTATAATTATGGTTATTTTTGTGGTTGTTGCCATTACTACTTATGACTGGTAGTGTGGGGTTCAACTCAGTTTCTTAACTGTTCCCCTTTTTGTTCTACTGCTTCCACCTCTGTGCTGAGTGTTCATTAGACAGTGTAAAATTGTTTTCTGTACTCTATTTTTTTGAACATTTGGTATTTTTAATATATCCTAAAATGTCTAGACAAGCTAAAGTGAAAACCTGACCCTCCCTCAGATGAAGAAAAAATGGCAAAAGCTATGTATTTAAATGGATATGAGAGTAACCCCATATTTCCCCCCCAATTATAGCAGTTTAATGTTGAACTCACTTCACCATTCATTAGGAGCACAGACAAGCTCACAGGCAGTCAGAGAGGTATGCTCCCTAAAACACCATGGGTTTTACATGTGGGGTTTTTTTATATTCCTGTTTTCTTTTCTTCCCTGCCCCCTCCCCGCTGGGCTGTGTGTGGGGCTGGCAGCCTGGTGGTGTCGCAGCCCAATGCCCGAGCCTCGGGACTCTCCAGCAAGGGGTCGAGCAGCAGCAGCTCCAGTGAATCCGAGACCAGCTCAGAGTCTGACTCAGAGAGCGAAAGCAGCTCCAGCGAGAGTGACGGCAGCAAGCCCTCGCATTACTCCAGCCCAGAGGTAAGGGCTTCTGCTCCCTATGATTTAGGGTGCACTCCATTATTACACCCACTCAGACCTTTCCCCAGCCAAGCCAGCACAAGGAGGCTGTGGGGAGATGTACAAAAAAAACCAAGACAAGGGCCCAGGGATCCTTCTCCTGGCACGCTGTGAAACGCAAGTGGCTGGGAATCCTGGGGCAAATTGAAGGATATGAAACAAAAATGAAGAAAGAAATAAGCCTGTGATATTTTCCTTAAATTGGAGATGAGTGGAGCACCTTGCAAAGCTCACAGCTTGCTTGAAGTTTTATGCAGTTCTGCCTCCATAGCAATGGCTTGCTTAGTGTTTAAGTCCTGATGTGGGCTCCCAGCACTGCCAGGGAACTAAAGGCTTCGCCACACAGGGAAGCTGTTATAAAATCAGTTGGAAGATGGATTTTTAAAGCAAAACAGTTTTCACTCACTTCTCTTGCCTCACTCTCTAAGTGAATTATTCTCTCTTACTGCTGCTTTTATGTGATTTATTTTAATCCATCTCCAAAATGGACTAAACTGAATTACTCATGGTGCAAAACATTGAGCCCAAACTTGTCATCTGGAAAGCTAGTACTGAAAATTTCCACATGTAGACAAGCCCTAGCTAAACTACAATTAAGCTGCCAGTGCTATGACACCACCTGCTTTCACCTCTACAGAAAGCTCAACAGACAGAACAAAGCTACTTTCTCTACTCTGCTTTTCTACCAGGATTGACATTTTTAAGTATTTTGGTCAATACACACCTTTAGAATTAAACCATGAACTCTGCAGCCACATCACACACATTAATGTATGAAAAATTTTCAAAACTTTAGTGGCAAGATTGTAAATACACATGAAATACAGTCAGTGTATTTTCCAACTCCACATAAAGCATCCAATCACCAGACTCCTCCCCCCCAAACTATACCTCACCTATTCTCTCACCCTAAAAAAATGACACTGAGAAAACAGCAAACCTTTCCTCATCTTTTCCTTGGTTATTTGGAGCCAGTCAGGCAAAATGCAGCACTCACAGGAACATCCTTAATATAGTTTTCTCAGGTTCTGTCTCTTTTGTTCCTTATTTAGCACTTATCTTCCTGTCTGTCTTTCCTTCACAGTATTTTCAGATCCATTTCTAGTTAATTTTCCTCTCATTTTGTTCCTTTCCTACATGTCTCTCTCTTCCTTCCAGTCCCTCTTACCTGTTGCCCTCCCTGCCATACCCTATGTCTTATTTCCCATTCTGAGCTTTCTCATCTGACCTGTTAAAACCTTGTTCTCTCTCTGCCTAATTCCCCCACTGGAATTAGTGCCGAGATCTCGTGCTCGATCTCTCCTCTCCCTGTGGGATCTCGAAAGGTGAAATAAGAGGGGCAAAGAGAAGAAAGAGAAGGAAACATTGTGAGTGGAAGGAAACACGAGATGAAAGGAGGAGAAGCATAGTACCCAGGAATGGAAGAGTGGTTACTATCTAGGCAGTTACCCATGCTGCTTAGACCTGAGAGCAGCAATTCCTCTGGGAATGCATGAAGTTAATTAACTGAGGCAGGTTGTGGATTTCATAAAGTCAAGCAGAGGACTGAGTCATGGAAACATGGAGGAAGTGCCTCCTCTTAAGCATTTTATACATATCCTCTCGAGATCTGTGGAACTACTTTTGTACAGAGCCTGAGTTGTCAGTGATCATTGTCACGAAACAGCTGCACCACTCCAACAGATTGCTTGTCTCTTCGCATTATATTTGTATGGTTTGTCTTCTAGGACATGCTGTCTGAAACATGCATATACAAAAATGTAAATTACCCAAAAACATGATGGCTGCAGTGATTTTCATAGGGCGTTTTCATCCCTTGATGGGATATGGGAGATGGCACACGTGGCTAGGGTCAGGGTGTCCCAGGGAAGTAGGATACCTGTGTTTTCCCCAAGGGCAAATGCTTTCCCAGGCCTATCATATGACTGATGGCACCAGTTCAAATGTACTTACACGATGTCTCTGACTGAAAGTCATTTCAGCTTTGCATAAATGCTTTAACTTACATTTATGCATCCGGTGAAGACATCTTTCTAAAATACATGCCAGCTTCTTACCCAGTAAATGGAAAGAGAGAGGTCCTTGGAAGCTCTTTGAAGGGAGGTCCTGTCCACTTAAGTTTAAGTAGCAGACTCAGTTCCAGAACTAGTCTTAAAATGAATTTAATCTGTTGGATAAGACAAAAAAATTAAATACATCTTTAGCATTGATTTAGCATTAACTGGTAAATTGAGGTACAATGAATTTGAGTACTCCTGCACAGTGCTGGGCAGGAACTCCATATTTCCAGGTTGGGAGGAACTTAATCTAGAAATCTGCAAGCCATTATAAGGCCTTCATTCTTTTATTTTCTCTCATAATCTGAAATATTATATGCATACACTCAAAGATTTTTATTTCTAGGACAGTGTATCTTCTGCATATGAGGTTATATAACAATTCAATTGCTGTTTCATTTCTTCTGTAATTTTTTCCTCATCTCATTTTGAGATCTCAAAGTTGTCCTCAGGTGTTTAAATGCAGTTGCCTAGAGTGTAAAAGCAGCTCATTGTAAAGCATACATATAAAGTAGGTGAGATGAATTGCACCCTAAAAGTGTCTGTTTCTTTCCATTGACTATTTAGAGCCTGCAGTGACTAGCTCAGCTGTCTACACTTTATGTGTGCAGTAAACTAAGAATAATGTCTGAGCTAGTACAGGAGACAACAGTCAGACTAGTTTCAGTGATGTGGACAAATAAGGTGCCTCAGACATTATTGTGAGTAGTTACAGTTTTGTGGACTGACAAACCCAAAATTATGAACAAGGGACTGAGACTTCTATCTCCTGTTTCTTTGCTGAAGTAATCAATTCTTTGAATGACCTTAATTAACGTCATAAATGAGGACTCTGGAAAACAATGACGTCTTGTCCTTGCAATTATTTCAGATGGTAAAAAAAACTTTGGTGTCAAATCTATAGAAAGAGCTACATTTCTAAACCTAAGAATTTGGGGCGTTTGTTCTTTGTTCCATTGAATTATCCTGCAGACCTTCAGTAAAGCTGGCTTTGGTTATACAACTATGTATTCCCACTATGCAGGGAGGATGAGAGGGGAAAATGGGCAGGAAGGAAGCAGAGAAGCCATCACATGGGACAAAGGATATCAGTGGAGACTCAACAGTAACCAGTCCAGAAGACAAAGACGCCCTTTTCCACCAGCCCCACTTACCAGATTGCAATGTCCTTTACAGACTCTGCTGTTGTAGCTAGTTCCCAACCAGTAAAGTTTCTTTCTCCTTTTTGAGGATCCACATATACAAAACAAAAGGGGATTTTACCACTAGACCAGTTGTAGACCTTTGCAAATAGGATTCATGGGCTTTTTTTGTGGACTATTTTTCAGTAAGACTACAAACTACACTCTCTCTTCCCTCCAGAGGAAACTCTTTATGGCAAGAACCGCCTCATACAGTATATGTGTACTGTGCCTAACACATGGGAATCCCCAGGTCTAATTTGTTAAAGCATTAGCAGCAGTGTTAACAGTACCAATAAAGTAGCAATAATAAGAAGAATCACTATCATCTTCCCCTTCTTCATCATCATCATCACCACTGTCCAAATACAACGAGAAAACGCCAGATTTGTAAGGGGATTGCCCTGAATGAAGTATTTGATAGCAGGGCAGCCCAAGCAAGGTACCGTAAGGTTAAATTTGTACATGGATTTACAATAGGCAGAGTAGACTGCAGGGAAGGCAAATAGCTCAGTCCTAGCCAGAGTGGGCTAAGTCCACGCACATATCATAGGCTATCTAATATCTCAGTGAAAGTGGTGCCATGCTTCAAGTTTGCCACATCAGCCGCACCTGAGGTGCCTCACAGGTGTAGAGTGACCCCATTACACTGACAATGTTTAACAGCCCTTTACCTCAGGAAGTGTTTCTGGATAGTGTTTTGACAGAAGTTTCTTTTTGGATGCATGCCACTCGTACCTCTGGTTGCACTTGCAGCCTTGGAGAGATCTGAGATACGTAGATACGCTGTGTGGGAGTCATCCCACCTAAATTTGCACACTTCTGCTGTAGATACCTACATCTGCTCATCACCTCAGCCTCCCCTTTACAGTCTGTGGTGAAGAAAAGACGTTTTTAGGGCCCAGCTCATCTGGTCTATTTCAGATGTCTATTTCAAGAGGGAATTTTTCACACCCTACAAGAGCAGTCCACTGACGGTAGAGGGAACTTGTTAACTAGCTCAGATATAGGTGTCTATGTGGTACAGATGAATCCACCCACATTTAAGGAAATGTATCACATCCTTCTTTTTCTCCATGAAGCCTGGCACATGTGTATGTCTGTGGTGCACTGATCCCCAAAACTATCTTTGTCCTATGAAGTTTCCTGGCTTTGCTTTTCATGCCAAGTCTATATTTAATTGCTGTTAATGACTGTTATTCCTCTTACTGGGCACCACAGGCTTTACCCCAATTTAAATCCAGCCAGTTCTTTTAAAAGGCCCCAGGGGCAGCCCAATTCCATAACACAAAAAACAAAAGGCAGACAGCATTCTGGTATCAGAATACTCTGGACATATATATTCATATTTATTTCCATCCTTACATGCTGCTGAAAAATTTCCAGTTCAAGCAAACCAACTTTTCTTCCATAGAATGGTATGTAACCTGCTAAGAGCGGTGATGTGGACTGGAGAATTAGGGATTTTCTTCTTCTCCCACAAATTATTACAATTAGGCATGTAAAATGGACTGGCAAAAACTTTCAAGGGAATTTTCCCAACCCCTTTTTTTTTACCATTTTTACCATTTTTTTACTATTTTTTACCATTCATTCTTGACTGTCATGATTTTGTTCCCTCACAAGATACTTTCTTTTTTTACTTGATTTCAAACTACAGTAATTTTCAGGTAGAACAGTCGATTGAATAAATTACTTCCAAAAATGAACTGGCATCACTCATATACACTGAGAATCTCAAATATTCCAAAGCTGAATCAGGGCCCAAAATTAGTGAGAAAAGTTTTAAAATTCTGATTTTTTAAATTTGGATTCTTTTAATTTACCTGATAGGCTGTAGGCATTTTACTTTTGGCAGATGCAGCTTAAGGGATTTTTTTAGCACAGATCTTAAGGGTTTTTTTCAGCAGCCACAAGGATTTAAATTTTTATTTAAATAAATTCCAAAAGTGCACCTGAAACTCCTGACAAAATCAGTAAAGCTGGCAACACTGTTGATCCTTTTTATTGGACTTCATAGCTGGCTAATAGGTTGGTGAGACTATAGTCATTCCGCCTAAATAGCAGAATTCCACTCCAGGAAAGTGCTGCATTGCCAAGTTATAGCACCGTAGCACTTAATCACTGTTTTCTGCCAGTTTACTGTGACCCCTTGAAATCCATATTTGGTGAACCACTGTTTTCAAGAATTACAAGGTACATAAAGAAGCAGAATGGGATGTAACAGAAGAACTGGAATTTTTTTCAACTATCAAGTGACACTCGCTCTGACCTATACTACGGGCAGAGGTATATTTTTCCCCATGTGCTTCTGATGTATGCCCTTTTTCTTAAATACACCTGAACAGTAGAAAGACTCCCATGTATAGTGAACCTTTTATTTATATATCTACTAAATCCAGTGTGTGCACAATGAATGGCACCAAACAAATCTATCTGAATTTTCAACAACAATAAAAAAAAAAAGTGTTGTTCACTTTAGATAAAGAGTTAAGAGTTGTAAAAATACAACTTCATCCAAGAGAAATATTGACCATCCATTTTCAAGATTTACAGTTCAGGAAAGAAATTCCTCATGTAAGATATTAGGGAGTGTCCTTTAAAAGAAATAAACTTTAGGCAATCCAGCAAACTTCCCATAGGTTTTGGCTAGCTCAGTAATGAGTAAACTAGACACTTTTGCTAGAAGGAATATTCTTATCATTATGAATTTCGATGTCTAATTTTTTTGCTTATTTTAGGAGCCTTTGCTCCATGTAGAGTGAATACAACCCTCAGTGGGTGATTCTGGAGGCGCCCTTGGCTGTGCAGGAAACCTGTGTTGCCCTCAGGCATCTACTTTAAAAAAGAAGTAAGAGACTCTTTTAAGTTAGATACTGTGGATATTCTCTCTTGAGCAAACTTTTTTACAGAGCACTGATGGCTATCATGTTCAACTCATGACACACTTTTTGATTATTCATATGCAATAGCCTGGTGAATCAAATTTTGGTTGCAGTTGAGGAAATTAGGAGACTTTTCACTTTCACTTCTGTGAGGTTAGGTTATGGCTGGTCATCTACTCCATCATTTATTTCTTTTTGGTGTTTTTTTTTTCTTTCCTCTTCATTTTATTATGTTCAAATTACTGATTGCAAGAAGCACTAGAAAACACTCACATATTGTTCTGAAATAACATTGTCTGAGCTGTGGTTACATTTGAAATCATGATTATCCCACTTCTTCCCTGTCCAAACACCATTATGTTTTAGATGCTCTCTTATAACTTGATGGTGTTGTGACAGAAAACTAAGAGAAAAGCTAACAGCCGCACAATACTCCCAAAATGAGAACTTGACAGCACCACCACACAACAAATGTTTGTGGGATCTCAGAGGATTATAACATCAATACCAGGCAGATTACATGAATCGCCTGGTTAGCCCTCCAACTCCCCACCAAATGCTTCTTAAAATACTTTCTGTATTTACTGTGATGGCACAGGACACAGAATACATATCCCTAGCTTTCCTACTAGCTGTCTTCCTTTGTACCCTGCCTTGTTTTCATCCCTTCCTATCACCATAACATTTTTTTCCATTTGGAAACTCGGAAGTGTTTCCCAGTAAAGCCAGTGCCACTAGTGCTGTGTGAATCACCCTTGGAAATGATGAATCACAGAAGCCATCCTCTTTTCCAGTGTCATTCTGAAACCAAAAACATCCCCACTTGCAAGGCATGCCCCATGAGCCCTGTCGTGCCGCGCAGGGCCAGCGCCCAGGGGTTGCTGTAGACTGGGGGTGGCTTCTTGGTCCAGAGGAAAATAATCTCTGTGGTACCAGGACGGACGCGGCGTTTCTGCGCCCCTGAGGGACCCCCGGGGTGGGGGCAGCAGCGTCTCGGCACTAAGCTCGTGTGCATCTGTTCCTCTTTCAGCCCGAGCCGCCCTCGTCCAACAAGTGGCAGCTGGACAAGTGGCTGAATAAAGTTACCACGCACAAAGCACCCATCCTAACCCACCACGATGGCCCGGCGCTGGAAGCCCATCCCTACTACGGCCGCGTGAAGGCCGAGCGGCAGGAGAGCGAGAAGGCCTCGGCGGAGGGCCCGGCCGAGCACCGCAGCGGGGAGAGCCGCACCGCCGTCGCCGCCGCCGGGGACGGGCCGCGGCCCAGGACCGCCAGCAAAGCGCCCGGCAGCAAGGGCAGCCGGCAGAAGTCACCGCTCGCTGCCGACGGCGCGCCCCCAAGGCGGGCAGCGGGGAAGAAGGCACCGCGGCGAGCCGAGAGGACCTCCGCCGGAGACGGCCCCCACTGCCCCGGCGCAGAGGAGCCCCCCCGGAGCCACAGCTTCGCCGAAGGCACCGCTGGAGAGGCGCCGAGGGCCCGGCCCGGCGGCACCGGCAGCGGCGGGGGCTGCAGAGCGGGGCATCGCCGGGAGCCCCGCTCGGCTGCGGCCGGTGAGAAGCGTCGGGCCCGGGGGCCGAGCAAAACGGCGCCCAAATCCAAGGAGTTCATCGAGACCGAGTCTTCGTCCTCTTCATCCTCCTCTGACTCGGGCTCTGAGTCGGAGCGGGAGGAGCGCCCGCTGCCCAAGGCGCCAGCGGCGGCCGGGTCCGAACCGCGTGCCAAGGACGCGGGGACCGGCACCGCCAGCAAACCCCACGGCGGCTGCAGTGCCTTTGGCTCAGTTAATGCCAGGACTAGTAGTGAAATAGCAAAGGAGCTGGAGGAACAGTTTTACACCCTGGTTCCTTTCGGTAGGAATGAGCTCCTGTCTCCTCTGAAAGACAGTGATGAGGTAAAGTCGCTGTGGGTCAACATTGACTTGGCTCTTTTGTCCAGGATTCCAGAGCGTTTGCCCGAAGAACCGCTGGCCATGAGCGCCGAAGCAAACCAGGCGGCCAGCCTCCCGCAGGGTAGTAGTGCTGAACCCCCCGCAGAGAAGGGTTTACCGAAATCTAGAAGGAAACGCAAGGTGAGCTTCTGGGGGACCGATCAGAAGGGGTAGGGGAGCCTCCAGCAAGTGGGAGGCAGGCACCGCTTGTGCCCACATCCAGTGCTCAATGGCAGTGTCTTCTCCAGGACAGCATTTCAGACCTGGGATTTGTCCCTGTTTTCCACTTAGGGACCGGCCAAACCCCAGGGGAGTTGCCATCCCAGGAGGTGATGAAACTTTCTGACCACGAGGGATCGATCACAGCCCCTTGGAGACAGCATTCACTGCTGCCTCATGCCTTTGCGTGCCTTAGCGAAAGCAGTGCATTTTTAGTAGAATAGTTTTCTCTCATGAGGCTTCTCTCAAAAAACTGAGCATTTGGAAGTGATGCTCGGGTCAGCAAAGGGACAGCTATCTACTGTTTTGTCATGGTCTGAATGGTATCACTGCGTGTGTGGTAAAAGAAGAGGCAGCATCATTTTTCCCTTTAGATTGTCAGCAAGAGGCAAACCCTTCAGCCCCAGCAGGGAGCCCTGGCTTTGTAGGGGTGCACTAATGGAGACCTGGGACCAGCCCCGTTCTGGAACCTGCCTCCCTCACACCCTCTTGGCCTGTTTTTCCCTCAGGACTGTGTAGAAGTGGGATCATAGTCCATAAGTTGCCCCCTTCCCAGCAGCACTGTCACGGAAGCCAGGTGGGCAGAGCCCTCTGATCACATCCACCCCTCCACCCAAGCTCTCTCATACTCTTTCTGCTGCGAAGGAGAAAACCCCCTCCACTTCATGGCCACAGCTGTCCACCAAGCAGGCTTTCTGGTCTGTTTGTACTGATCTGACCCCAAAAGTGACGCTGAACTGCAATCGCCATCTGCTCAACTTCTGGGCAGTTTTGCTGTGCAGTCATCTGTTGCCCTCTGAGCTAGTGTATGTGTGCAGATGGATCTGTGTATTTTTGAGGACCATTTATCTAAAGCAGTCTTCCCTATTGTTTTATCTTACTTAATTTTTGGAGATTTTTTTTTAGTATCTGAAAGGTAGCAGCCCTATTTCAAGTGGGGAGGTAGTGGAAACAATTCAAATTTCATATTGTTCTCCTTTGTTTACACACTGACCCTCTAGATTTTATTTTCTTAAGACATGAACCCATCATCTCTCATCCATGTCAGTATATACTCAAAGAAATTATCATTGTAACAAAATGACAGAAAATACCAACCCCTGACTTGCTGAAATACTTTTGGATATGTAGTAAATCCAAACCCTAGAAAACTATTACTTTTCTCTTCACTCAGTGTGAGAATGAGGAGGAGTGCAGAGACATCAAGAAGACCCACTTAGATCGAGAGAGTTCTTCACGATTAGCTGCCTCTGCCCACAGCATCACAACAGCAAATCACTGCAATATGAATGAAAATAGGTAAGCCTTTCCTTCTTATTTATCACTGAGTCATACAAACAGTTGCAGTTTAATGCTGTGTTATTTTTTACCTTAGTAGGATTTATTTTTTTATTTATTGCATTTTATGTTGAAAAATTACGCACTGTGTTCTCCATTCTTCTGGTTTAATGAACAAGTTAGTAGCTCCTGACATATTCATGTACTTGCATTTTTGTCCCGTTTCACAAAGAAGTTGTGAGCTCAAGCGTGAGGCTCATGGAGTGAGTAATTGCAGCTAGAGCAGCGTGATTGTCCGAGAGGTAGTCACAAACGCTGTGTTGTAGGCACCAATTCACATATACAACCATCTTATAGCCATTTCCTTGTAGTGCTGCGAGTTTCAAGCTTGAAGTTTGACTGTATAAATAGAATTATGTATCAGCTCTGTGGAAAACACCGAAAAAAACACATTCATAACAATGCCTGCAACGCTCCTTTCCAGAATATATTTGAGATCCACTGTTTCTGAGATTACAGGCATTCCATTCTGTGTAATGCTCTAAGACAAGGAACTTAAGACTTTTAAAAAGGTGAAATTTTAAAAGGATGTAGGACATGAAACAAAAGATAAATATTTAGCACTTGCTGGCATGGTTTATGCACACAGACCCCTGTCAGTGTCAGAGCAATCACACCTGAGTTTCTCTGGAGGCTTCCAGCAGTCAAACTTAGACATGCATCTTCTCAGAGTTCAGCTGCATGCTTCTTGGTACATACTGGTCATCAGTATTTTTTTTTTTAAATCATTTTTCTAGTAGTATCAGTATATCTCTTGGGCTGAATCTGCTATAAAATAAGAAAACATTTGTATTTATTATAGAAGGCTTTTCTATTGTACATATCACTGATGAGCTTGAGCAATTCTTGTCATTAATACTGAAAAAATCATGGTAAAAACTAATGTATATAGTGCTTATTCAAAAATATGCATTCCATTTCTTTGTCCTGACATGTCACATACATTTCATATAGTGAAAACAATACAAAGAACAGTTTGCTCTGTTGGGGGTGGCAGCATGCAGACATGCCATTCCTGTTACCGCAGTGTCATGTTTTACACTGCATTCATTTTCAGAGAGTAGCATGGCTGTCATAGCTTGCTGTGTCACAGGGTTAATTCTGTGCTTGCAGGAAGCAGGGCAATCGTGTGTTTTTCTTAACATTATAGTCAGTACTTCTGGTAGCAACAGTATATTAACGACACAAAGAATGTCTGAAATATATATTTGCCTCCTAATTGTTTCCTGATTTGCTCTGCTTCCAAGATGTTTCTGTGGTTTGTGCTAGTGTAGGACATGATGTCAAATGCTGATATTCTCACAGCTGAGGAAGGGCTACTGAGGCTGTAACTAAATGAGCAGTGCAGATATCAGGACCTCCTGGTACTCTTGCAACCAGCAGCTGTTCATGTTGTCACATCCCCTCTCCAGTTACACCACCATAGATGCCTATGAGAATCTCCTGTAAATACATTTAAGAAACTTGTTTGAAACCAGAACTCCCTTTTCCTTTTCCTTTTCCTTTTCCTTTTCCTTTTCCTTTTCCTTTTCCTTTTCCTTTTCCTTTTCCTTTTCCTTTTCCTTTTCCTTTTCCTTTTCCTTTTCCTTTTCCTTTTCCTTTTCCTTTTCCTTTTTTCTTCTTCCTTTTTCCTTTTCCTCTCTTCTTTTTTCCTTTTTCTTTTTTATTTTTCCCTTTTCCTTTTTTCTTTTTCCTTTTTTCTTTCTTTCTCTTTTTCCATTTCCTTTTTTCTTTTTTTCATTTCCTTTTTTCTTTCTCTTTTTTCCATTTTCTTTATCTTTTTTCCTTTTTTCTTTTTCTTGTTTCCTTTTCCTTTTTTCTGTTTTCTGTTTTCTTTTTCTATCCCTTTTTTCCTTTTTTCTTTTTCCATTTTATTTTTCTTTTTCTCTTTTTCCTACTTTTGTTTTGTTATGGTTTTTTTTTCACAAGTATTATTATTCATCTCCCAGTAGAGTCACCCAGACAGTTTTGGCAGCATAGCTGAGGGCTGGTAGCAAAGGTAGGAGCAAAACCACTTACAGAGATGAGCATTTTCTACTGTGGAATTACAGTCTGAGGTGCAGACTAACCAAGAAAGGCTGCAGGGTCAGGAAGAGATACCCCAAATATCTCGTACCTATATCAGATGCCACAATCTGTCCATTCCCAGCAGATGACAGCTCTGAGACTGTCCTTTGTTGCAGGTTGCATGGCTTTTCAGCAAAAGAAACTGTGCTGCTGTGCTTTGACTGCTCACAGTAAGTTTAGGTGGGCCTTACTCAATGTGCCAAAGGCCATGTGGAAGGTGTGCAGTTAAAACTACAAATTTCAGCTGCTCCTCACAAGCTCTGTGCCAAGCTTTTGAGGCTTGGGTACACTTCTAAAGAGCTGTGGCTTCCCTTGGATGCTTCAGGCCCACACTTTGACAGTGATGTGTAACCGTGGTTAGCCAAGCCATGGGTTTATGTTTGAAAAGAGGAAAAGAAATGACAGCAGCAGCCTGCACATTCAACATAGTGCTAAAGATCTTTTTTTTCTTTTCTTAGGGAGAGAAGAAGGGCACAGTTGTCTATCTTACACATCCAGAGTCCTGCTTTTGTAAACAGCACTGGTCATTAAAGCAAAACAGTTGACATAGTGTTTTAAAGGTACTACAGGCTGTGAAACAGTAAAGGTTCTGAATTACAATTCATGGCTTCTTTTACAGCTAGTTTTTAAAGACTTGCCAGATAAATGGACAAATGTATGATAAGAGCACATTTAATTAGCTCTGTTCCCTGAAATTATGTGCAGAGATGAAGTATAGTTCTTACTGTATTCTTTTTTGCAATTCCATTAAGTGTATATTGTCTGATACAGTAACTATAAAGAAGTGAGAATTGTCCATAAAAAGTAATAGTCTGAATAAAGGGGAATGTGACAGGGAAAGGTATAGTGTTAAAATAGTCCTTCTGACCTTAATTGCAGTTTTAGTCTTAATGTCAACTGTCTCCTTAAAAAACTTCACATTTTTTTGTATGTTGCTTTAAGATTTTCAGCTAAATATTTTCTTCAAATTAGTGCATCTGAAGTTTATTTCTGGGCATATTTTTATGGTGTGTCTGACTTCTCTTCATCCAAAGCTTCTTTTGAATAAATGAAAGCTGAAAATACTATCTGTGTTGTAGCTCTCTGCTTTAGAAGACAGAGTAGCTCACATTTCTCTGCATCTACTGTTTGCATATGCTTCCTTTTTCTGCATTAACAGTCTTTCTTTGTCTTCAAAACCTGTATTAGATTAGTATAAACAGTGCTACCAAAGGCTGGCCAGTGAGCACAAAGACAAGCCAGTCATCTTTAAACACATTTCCTGTTTTAGTTCACACATGGTTTTATTGCCATGGCGTATAAATTGTCACCTGTAATGGTGAAATAGGGCTCCATAACCTGAACTTACACTTCAGAGCCTAATCTTTGTCTCCAGCTATCCCTTAAGAAATGGTGAGCAAGTGGCCATTTATCTCTGTGTTTTTTTTTTTTCAAGTACTGTGATACAGACTTCATATTAACTCCAGAATTACAATTTGCCTTGAAGGGAAAGAGAAGAAACATGATACAAATTTGTAAATGAACTCTTGGTCCCAATACTGTAAGCTTGTTTCCAGTTACCCATAGACTTTATCCTGCCAGCAGGTTTTAAATTCAAAGTTTTGGTAATATATAAAACATTTACTTTTCTCAAAGCCAGCTTTGTGACACTCCATTACTGTAATTTCCATTTCCAGCTTGGCAATACCAATAAATAAAAATGAGAAAATGCTTCGGTCACCCATCTCTCCCCTCTCCGATGCATCAAAACACAAATACTCCAACGATGATTTAACTTCCTCCAGCAGACCTAATGGCAGCAGTCTATTACCTTCCATCTCCTCCAGCAAAAAGCATAAGGGTGAAATCCAGTCGCAGCCACATCCCGCAGACTTCAATGTAAGTGTATGCTGTTGTTCACAATATAAAGCCTAGCAGTATATTTTTCACTTTGTAATGCAGTCTACGATAGCTTTGCAGAACATTATGCAAAAAAAAAAAAAAAATGTAATAATGAATGTTACTTTGTAAGTTCCTCTTTTCTGACTTGGAGCTTAGCAAGGCACAGAAGAAAGCAAAGAGGGCAGGCTGTAAAATGGGCAAATAACAAAGGCTACATAAGCAAAAGGTAAAAGCTAATGGCCCAAAACGAATAGCTGTAGGCCTCCAGAGCATTGCTTGGACATGATGCAAGGCCCTACATTCATGGTGCATAAGGCCCCTACTGTATAAGGGCTGCCACTGCCTTAACCATGAGTGTGCCTGCGGACAAGTTCTCTTACCTGTCTTAGAAAAACGTTTCTCAGATCCTACTTACAGCAGTGAACAGCTTAGCACCAGGCTTACAGCTCAGCTCCATCAGAGCCCAGGTATTCATATCCTTATTGGAGAGTCCTGCTCACACTAAATGTGCCCAGAGCACTGTTCCAGATAAGGCTGTATTACTACACTGCATGGTGGCCACTCCTTCAGAGCACAGAGAGGGAGGAATAGGTGGATGCCCCCATTTATGCATGAGTTCTGTGACTAAGATGCTGGAATAGAGAGCCTGTTAGCTCTTTTGATTCAGGGAATTCCCATCTTTCTCTCTTTCTCTCTCTCTCTGTCTTTCTCTTATTTCTCAAAATCATACCGTACCCTCGGGCCTACAGGACACTGATGGTAGAAGATCAAGGGCATAACATTGTCACATCTTCCCCATGACACTGTTCTGCTTTGTGTGAAATTCCTAGAAAAAGCAATTTGGATACTATGATCCTGATGCCCACTGCTGGAGCACCTAGTCAAGCTGTTAGGGTGCTCTTCTGCCCATGCTCCTCTCTTTGCTACAAAAGTTGTTCATATATTTTATCCTATATCTATTTGCAGTATTTGTTATTTGATATAAAAGAGGCTTTAAAAGCCTAAGTATTAGTGCCTGAGCAACTTTTAGGTAAAAATCTTACCTAAGTTGTAGCAGTGGTTTCTTCCAGGCACTTTTGCTGTGGTGGTAAATGGCCTCATAGTATCTGTTAGTATATATGTGTATTAATTTTTTTTTGAGAGTGGAGGAGGAATTAGGAAATGTAATATTAATTTTGAACACTTTTTCAAAAACAAGTTACCATAAATTGTATGTTTCAAGAATATCTCATAGATGCTTTTGGTAAATTGAAATAAACTAATTATAGAAAATATTCCAATAAAAAGGCCTTTAACATATTATAGTTATTAATTTATTTTTCATTCATTAAATGCAAAGTTTTAAACATTTAAACTTCTAAAATATAAACTTAGATGTTTATAACCCATTCAGAATTATATGATCCTTCACTGGGTATCTTGAAAATAATTTAAATTCCTTTACAGGCAAATGTGTTGGAAATCAAAAGTAAAGGGTGATTGCTTTATGATCCACACCCTTAGCAAATGCATTTCACTGAGATTTTCTGCATAGCCTAGCAATGCACCATTTGGTCAACATTTAACAACTTTTGCAATAAAATTCTTATGTATCTGGTTATTCATCTGAAAACTTTAGCCTGCTGAACTGATCTGGATGTGCCATATAGAAGATGAGAGCTCATGAACTATAAATGTTAAAGTTAGCTTTGTTTTATCCCATCTTCTCATCTGGCACATAACTGCCAGATCCTTCAAATTTCTGTCAAAAAACTCCAAGCCAGGGTTGCCCACAGTGGGCTTTTATCCATTTGAGCTTTTTTCCCATTTTCCTGGTGCCTTTTTGTCTGTCACCTGACAAAGAACAGTGATTTTTGGCAGTGGTTATCAACCAAAAACGACCTAGCACCCTCTCTTTTGCACTGTACCAGTGTGTAGTAGCCCAACACAGCAGGTCACTTGGTAGTACAAAGGGCTCAGGATGCCACATGAAGAACAGGACTGCAGCTGAGGGAATGCGTGAGACCCTGCCAAAAGACATGTTCTTCCACTTCAGCACAGAGAAGTGGTCTTGCAAGGTAATCAGGAGCCCAGAGCACAAAGAAACCTGGACCTTGGGCTACAAATTCATACCACACAAGTACCTCAGTAATGCGGCATGAAACGAGTCGAACATGTAAGTTCTTGCTCTCCTGAGGCAAGGGGAATTGCTAGTTTGGAAGCTGAAAGCTAGAGATATAACTTGCTCTCCTAAATTACAACGACAGATCTATTCTTTAAGAATTTCACTTACTGTATTTCAGAGTGTTTTGATAGTTACTAATAGTTCACCTCAGTTTCTTCTGTTTATCATATTGAAATTCAAGCCCTTTACAAAGTGCTCTGACCAATATCTGTGAATTTGTGGCTGTTAGTGACAGGACACTCCCTGCTCAAATAGTAGGAAAAACTAACTTCTAATTTACAACACAGTGCAAAGACACTCTGGTTTTTTTGTTATTTGTAATTTTTTTAAGTTAGCAGCCAATTCCTCAATATCTTATCTACTGTTTGTTGTCCAGAAAGCAGTTCACATCAATTCAGAAAATATTCTTCTCTGCAATAAGTCGCAGTCCCAAACAGAGCCTTGGTCACCTCTGTCCAGCACACCCAGGGACTGCAGAAGGACAAAGCTTATCTTTGATGATATGTAAGTACAAATGGCTTTAAAATAAAACAATGTCATTTTTTGCATTTAAAAAAGAAAAATACAATTTGTCCAACAGGAGACATGGCCAGAATTCTAGTAAGACTTATTGTACATTGAAAAATGAATGAGACCTACCAGATAAACTCCTTAGTTTTTCATCATACATTAAATCTCTAACCATAGAATAGAAGAATTCATAGAAAATGATTTGGATTTGAAAGGACCTTAAAGACCACTTAGTGTCAACCCCTTCGCCACGAGTAGGGGATTCCACCCACTTTTGACCAGGTTTCTCAAAGCCCCATTCAACCTGGCCTTGAACACTGCCAGGGATGGGCATCAACAGCTTCTCTGGGCAACCAGCTCTGGTACTTCACCACCCTCACGGCAAAAAATTTCTTCCTAACATCTAATCTAAACTTGCCCTTTTTCAGTTTAAAGTCATTCCCCCTTGTCCTATAACTACAAGCTCTTGTCAAAAGTCCCTCATCATCAGGGAGCACTGACTGGCTGTTCCCAAAGGATAGGGCACCAAGAGTGAAGATGCAGAATGCAGCTGGCAGGGGTCCAAGTCCCACCAGACCTAAGCAGGGTGAGCAGGGCAAGCCCAAAGGTGGAATCAGACTCAACCAAGCACTAAGATCCTCAGGCACTTCCATGGTGATGAGTCAAGTCCAAGGTCAGGCCAGGAAGTCAGGTCAGGATCAGGTCCGGTGCAGGTCAGACACAGCCTGGGGACTGCCAGGCATGCGATGTGACAAGGCAGGTCTGAGTTCCAGCCAGGAAGACAGACCCCAGGGCAGGGTCCAGGTCGATGGGGGACATGGCCAGGCACAAGCACTTCTGTAAAGGGTTTGCTTGCAGTGAGTTGGACAGGGAGTGAAGGCCCAGACCTGAGCTTAAATGGATTTCATTAGCCTGTGGACAGAGGGGGAGGCCCCACATGAGTCAGGTCAGGGCCACTAAGACTTTATTAGTATCCCTGTGGCACTGGTATTAATTATGCACACGTCAGACTATTAATGTATCATAACTGTAGAAAGGCAGGGTGAGAGGGGCACCTTCTTGTGCACCCTTTGGGGCAAGGAGAGAGGACATAAGGAACCTTTCATCCCTGAGCCTTGACAGCTGCTGCTACTTCTGCTGAGCTAGAGTATCAGAAGGCAGAGTGAGCAGGAAGCAGCAGTGGTTAGCATGAATACCTGGAGGAGTACCTGGCCCTCCCCACCTCCATTGCATCCTTCACACATCCCTCACTCCTGCTCTGAAAACATTTTAAGCTTGTAATGGTATTTCTTTTATTTTTTTTTCTAAATTAAAATTGCCAGTTTGTTTCCCAAGGTCATTCAGGACATAGTATTATTTAGATAATGTATAGTGGGGAAATTGAAGGTTAAAATCCTAGTATCTAGAAAATCCAGATTCTTTTTGACTGATAATATTCTGGCCTAAAAATACTGATATTTTTTCTGTCTATTGTAGAAGAGGTTCTGTTCAAGGTATGCCTCAAACTGCCTGGAGCTCTAAGCTGCATGACCTTGACATAGTTTTCATACTCCCAGACTTCCACCCACAACATCTCTAACTCCTTTATACCAAAAGAAATATTGGGATAACAGCCTTATTCTCTCAGGAACTGCTTTCTACCAGAATTGGGGTGTTTTAATATTAACAATTGTTATTATTGTTGTTGTTGTTGTTATAATGTTTGTTCACACTATCTGGTCTCAAGAACGACTAGAGAGGCAGCATCCTCTCATAGAGAGAAACCAGATTTCCTGCTATAAGGTACAAATTATTCCTCTGGACTTCAAAAGGATGTAACTGGCTTGCATGTCAAGAAAAGAAGGCTTAATTTCTGTATATATTCATGGCAGTCATAAGCAGATGTAAACTGAATAAATGTAATCAGTTTTTCTGCCTCTTTTGGAAAATACTCTCCCCTGTGTATATATCTTTATTATTCCTCTTACTCCACCTCCCTCCATATTTTTAACTCTTCCAGTATGTTTATTTAACATTGTTTAGAAGTACTACCTAACTCTTCATATCTCTTTAAAAGCTTTATCATCTATAATTTACTTGCACCTGCTTAATTTTTCTGCAGTTTAAATACGTGCATACAAGGCAGAAAGGTGTCAGAGTCAAAAGTCAAAAAGGATGTGCTCATCTGTTTGGATTAGAAAGAAACATAGTCAGAAACAGCGACAACAGAAGAACTATTGTATCTTCATCTGCTTTTCCCTCAAGATGCTTACAAAAAACGGGGGAACTGATTTGTTTCATTTTCCCCCTAGGATACCGTCGTAGGAAATCTGCTTTGGTCAGCATCTCTGTCATCTAAGAGGCTTTTATCACTTCCTTTCTCCATTAGTGATAGAAGTGATTTCTCTGGCAGGCATCTCCAATAAAACTGTTTCAACTTTCCAGACAGAGATACAATTAAACATTGGTATATAGTGTCTTCCATGTAAAATATCCCCAAGCAACTTGTAGACACATAAAAAAATGTACAAAGCCAAATAAGATAAAATACAGAATCAAATATATCTTAATTTGTCCTTAAAACCCAGAAACAGTTAAATGCCTGTTGTGCTAACTAGAGGAAGGACATTGTCAAGTACTACATCTGTCATCCACAACCAGTATCTGGGATACACCATCAGAATACCAGCTGTACTAGATCTTGATTCTGAAATTACTGTGCAGGGAAGTCACTGAAATGTAGCAGATTAGACTGGCTGTAAATGTTAAATGTCAACAAATTTGACTCACATGTTAGAAGGATCAAATTAAACATGGCAACCAGTGTCTTTCAAATTCGTATAGTACCACAGCAGAGGATTTGAAGAAATGCAGTACAGTAGGTCTAAATTATGTAGTAATCCTAATGGCAGCATTTGTCCAAAATGATGCCTATGAAGTATTTCATCTCATAATCCATGAAGTTCTGAATTACTGTAATCCAGCCATGGCTTTAAAGTCTTAATTTTAATCAGACTCTGAAGTTTTTAAGAGACTAAATCCCTTATATTTGATTTAAAACAACAACTATTTTTTTGACCAATCAGTGTGTCTTTCCTTTATTCTCAATTTATTTTCTCCAGATCATTGACAACAGCTGTCACTAGCAATAAATTGGAACACAAGTAGGTCAATAAAAAGTGTATCTTGCTTGGCAGAGTACTGTATACACATACACTGCAGTAGAACAGTAAATATAGCCAACAGCCTTCAAAAGACAGGCAAATTCTACTTTACCTAGTTTGCCATTTTTTATTGCTAGATCTAGATATGCTTGTAGGTACCCAGCATGTCTTAAATGTAAGTGACATCTGTGCTGTTTTCAGTGGTAATCTTAACAAGATTTCCTGGATTTTTTGGCCATTTTTGACTCCATGAAGAGAAGATTTTCAAGGCTACATAGTAATGCTTCAAGCCAAATTGATTCCTGCTGTAATTTCACTGAATGATAGAATTCCCAATAATTGCATTTAGGAACTAAGTCTGTTGTCCTTGAAAGGATAAGCACAGACATGCTGTGGGTACCCAAGGGCACAGTCCCACACTCTCCTCAAAATATTGCATATGTGGTATAAAAAAGAGCAGAGCATACCCAGCTTCCCAGTTTTCCTTATGGCTAAATCAGAACATGCTCCTCAGGATTATTTTATTGCATTGTGGGTTATTCTTTCAAACTTGGGGTGTGGTTTTTCTTCACTTACATTTATCTTTTTTTCTGGCCTTTTTTTTTTTTTTAATTCATGTTTTGTTGAATGTCTGGTCAACCTTTATGGATTTTGGTGCTACGCACATCCAACCAGCTTCACATTGTCCAAGGGACATATCCTGTGGTGAGATAGAATTCCTATGTTTGTTTGTCAAAGAGTAAATCATATACCCGGAAAATATTCAGACTGTAAAGGTGTTACGCATAGAGCTCATGAAGAGTTCAAAAAATAACTTCATGGCACATCTCTTTGTTTTGGCTTGAAACCCCAAGTGTCTCATTTTCCAGAGTCTCCTCTTCCTTGTTCTTCCTCCTCAGAGTGGAAAGGAGAAGGTGCTCCTGGGTTGTGACTCCCATACAACATCTGGAAGTGATTTCACTTTGCATTGCTCAAAATGCTCCAGGGACTCCTGAAGTATTTAGAGAAACTTTTGTAGTGCTGACTACATCCTGAGGAGCACAGTTAAGGAACAGAGCGTGGTTCCTCTTTCTTCTCATCAGCAATCTAAAAAAATCACTGTTCAGATAGACCAGTGTCTACTACACTAAGTTCCTCAAAATTCATATACATACTTTGGACTGCTCCCAGTTTCTTGGCTTTGGGGGATTTCAAGGCTTCATCTGACTATTCCAGTCTTCCTCTTCTTCCTTCTTACTTGTGGCACTGAATTTTCTCATGTGTACAATGTCCGTGATAAAATAACATTAGACATGCCAGACACTGCCTCCCATGCCAGTGTCTCCCATGCCAGACACTGCCTCCCATGATTAGATAATTAAGCTGCCTGTTCTCTGCAAGACCACCTACCCCTTTTCTTTATAGGAACATTTGGTTTGGTGGGAAACAGATGCTTAATCAGCTCTGGCAGGAGATTCTCACAGGGTATAGAATTTATAGGCACTATTCCCTGTCATTAAAGGAAAGCCAGCCCTGTGGACCTCATTTGAACTTATATGCTACATCCATGCCCCTCCTCTGCTCCTGTGGGCAAGTGGTTCAGCACTGCTTATCTTTGTATGATTAAACTGTCTGCACTCCTCAAAACAAAGAACACTCACTGCCTCCTGAGAGCAGTCCCTGGCCAGTGCTGTCTCCCAGCTGTGCCCTGGCATTGTCTGGAACTGAGCTCAAAGCTATGCCAGGGAGAGTGAGTATCAGCAATTACACAGCATGGATGATCAAATGATAAAGCTGGTATCCTTGCCCTGCTTATTTCACTTGCATAGGCATAGCCAAGGAATGTTTTACTGACGGACTCAGATCTAAAAT